ATTTTTCTGAATTCTCATTTATGTGTAAATTTGTTAAAGTAAGGTTAATCGTAATATATTATTTGTGAATAATTAAATAATATTATTCTATAATCCGAAGATATTGACTAAAATTTCTATGCGAGTAAAATTTATTTATACGTATTTGATTTTTTCGGAATTTATCAAAACTATAAACGTTTTACAATTTTTAGTTGAAATTTGGCAATGATGTTTAATGTCAATTAAACAAACTTAATTAATAAACAACCATCAAGAAATTAACGTCGTTTTCACATGCAACTTATACGATTATAGTTTTATTATTTTTACAACATGAAAAGGCTTTTTAAATGATTAGAGTGCCTAAGCTTTTATACCAAAGGGAGAGTTGGCAAAGTAAAACTAGTGCACGCGCATTTAATTAAATATATTTTTTTTTTATTTGCAGGAATGTGGGTCACGTATTTTTACGCAAATCGCGTAAGCACAAGTAATTTAAATTATAGTTTATTTTAAGCAGCTGCGCTTTTTAATGTTAAAATACACTGCATTTAAACGAAAATGTTGCCTATAGTAAAAATTAACACTACTAGTTACAATGCATTACTTGAAGTTTACGTGAGTAGTTTACATTAAAAAATAAGGCTTTTACTGCTTCACTAATTATATTGTCTATATAATATATTATATATATATAGCATATTTGTTGACTACAGATTCGCTCTCAATCAATGTTAAAACTTTCTCATAACTTAAGAATCTTTATAAGATTGTAAAAAATCGTTGACACGGCGGGACTTGAACCCTACCTACAAAAAGAACCGTGCTGCTCTTCTAACCAATTTAAATTTTTAATTTATATCATACTATTGTCTGCAAAAAGTGTTTAAGTTTAAGTTTTGTAATATATTTTTGAATAGCATAGAGTGTACATATTATATAGGTAAAATATTCAACCCTAAATATAAGTTACTAGCTTTGCCAGTGACTTCGTCCGCATAGAATAGTTATTTTGTGCGTCATTCTCTCTATCTTTCTCCTCATTTTTATAAATTATAGCTGTTATCCGCGATTTCGTATACCGTAGATCATTTAAAGAGGAATAGTTCTCCCATACATATTGTTTTGGTTTCTTGAACCGTTTTCACAGCACACGCAATGAACCCTGCAATTGAAAATCCCGTTTTGTACATTCCCGGCTGTTTCTTCGCTCCTATTATTCTAGTCTAGATAAATGTTCTAGTTAACACAAAAATAATTATTCAATTCGAACCAGTAGGTTCTGAGAATAGCGCATTCAAACAAACATACAAACGAACAAACTCTTCAGCTTCATATATTAGTATAGACTAGTATAGATATATTCGATATATTTTTATGTTACTCAATTCACACAATACAGAAGCAAAACTTGTTCCAATATACACTAATAAATCATCGCGTATTTAATTACTTTGCAATCGATAATGTGCTATACCCCTTGCAAGTACTATAGAACCATTGCTATATACAAGTCTATAAAATATTTTTTTGTGAGGGGAAATTTTTTTCAAAACCAAAATTATTCAACAATAACTGTCTCCCCGTGACCACGGCACGAAACGTGGCCCCCCCCCCTCGGGCCGAAGTTAAAAATAAGTATCAAATAAATTAAACTGATATAAATCGCGTTTTAAAAATGTTTTATTTAAATAATAACTAACGTTGATTTACAATTTAAACACACTTTAAAGCTGAGTATATTTGTTGTTGTTTTGACATCTGAGAGAAATGATAATTCTGTAATTTTTTTCTACGATACAAGTTTTAGACAGTATTAAAAAACTTTAATATTGTTCACATGTTATTTCACATGATGACTCTATATGTATTAAAAATCGATTATAAATTTTAAAAAATACGATACGGGCAGGACTCGAACCGGCATCTACAGCGTTCCGTGCTGTTGCTCTAACCAATTGAGCTACCGTGTTATAATTGAATTTTAATTTAGGCAGTATTTATTTAATGAAATATAAAATACACCAAACCATATAACATCAAATAACGATGCGCTGTCGATCTATCTCGTCTCAGGACATTTGGTTATTTATATTAAAATTACGTTGAACGTGAACGTGTAATTAGGGTTCAAGATTAATCAACACGACAACACATTTTGTTTAAATATTAAATCATTGTCTAACCCGCCACGGCCGTCCCATGAAAAATTAAGTAGTGAGCCACGCACACACAAATACCTCGTTAAGTTTGTCATAGTCTATTTTCATCAGTTACATTAGTTTGAAGTTAATTTTATGAGCTTTTTCAGTTTAAAATATGCATATGTTTCCTGATAAGTGAGTCTTTAGAATTACTTTTTTTTTTAAATTACTAGTCCACCCCACAATGATGACTGATGATAAAATATATATTTAAATAAAACACTAGAGTGAAATGTATTTGTTAACATATTTAGAAATTAATATAATCCCCCGACCACAGCTGCTACAAGGCATCAGAAGTAACGTCGGGCTGTAGTTAAAATAATTTGTTACGCAAAATGTATTACATTTTGCGTTTTAAACCGTTAAAATTATAATGTTTAAACTGGAAAAAAACAATACGTAAAATATTCGTCTATCCAGGCTTTAGATTGAGGCATTATTTTCTGCTAACTTCGTTATTGTCTCTGTATAACCATTTTTGTTTGTTTATATACAATTCATTAAATTAGAAGTATTTTATTCAATTACAAAATTTGCATCAGTTCTTTTTGTGCCTTCAAAACATTTAACTTAAGTTGCAAATACTGTTTAGCACTATTTCAGGGTAATTAAATTAAGAGCAGTCGGACAACTGGGATCCAATGAAAACTAAATTCACTTCAGCACTTTTTCACTTTACCTTTCATTTACATAATATTTTATTTATTCCGGGTCCGCGCTGCAAATAGGCGGCAGTTTGAAAAGTTCTTTGTGCACATCTAATGGGAACATCAAACAATTTTTCAGGGGATAGTATAAGCTCTATAGTGATGGGAATAGTAATATCGCGGAGACATTCTCTTTATCATTCAATATTTCTATTATAATATATTTATACTCCCCTTTCAAACAAGGAAAACTTAAACATTACAATTGATGTGAAAACCCGACTAATATAGCTGTTGTTACTTTACTATAAATAAAATTATTTTGTTTTAAAATATTATTCGCGTTTTTAAAGTTTAGCTTGACGACCACGCGGTACTTAAGCAATAATGTTTCCGCTTCGACTATAGACGTACTAATTTATCTGTATCGTGCTTATTCTATTAAGACTTTTTACATAGACTTTTTTCAGACTAGTCTACACTACTATATAAAGCTGAAGAGTTTCATTATTAGATCATTTATCAAAGAAGGCTTTAGGTTATAAAACCTTGCGATGTGAAGGAATATCAGGAAATGTAGAAAAACGAGAAAATATTATTCATCTTTGACGGTTACCATTACGTGCGCTGCGAAAACGATTCAAGACACTCAAAAAATGTGTATGAAAGAATGATTCCCCTTTATATTACTTTAAAAAAATGTCCGCCCCACTATGTCTAATCTTTTAAGATTAACTCGCAAAAACGACGCGACCGACGTCGTGAGTAACAGAAATAATTTATAAAGTAAGGAGGAGGTTTGCAAAAACAAATTTTGACGCCCAAACACACAACCATTTTTTCACATGCACGGTCGACGATTTTGCAATGATTGCTTATCCTATATACTAAAACAAAACAAAGCTTACTTTCACTGCAAATGAACGAATGTCAAGTACAGTCGCGCACTTATTTGAAAGTAACGGCGTCCGGGGTGACAAGTGTTAGCTCGCGAAAAGCCGAAACGAGTCACGCAAAGCAATTGTAGCGGTAATGATCGCTCCGCACGCCTTTGTTCCTCTTTGTACTAGATCAAAGAGATAATGATAAGGACTTATATTATATGCCGAAGCATATCCTTTTGATAAATTAAAAATTTATTTACGTGAAAATATTACAACACGGGCGGGACTGGAACCGGCGCCTACGACATTCAAGCTGCTGCTCTAACCAGCTTAGCAGTTAGGCTTCGTGACGCGGTGGTAATATCTCAAGTATGAAGTGTGAATACAAAATATTACAAAAGGCGTATCGTTTATTTCCCTGTTGATAAAGATCGATCAATAAAACGGAGATTTCTCTATAGATCTATTTGTAAGTACGCGTTTTCTACAATTATAGTAATTTTGTTAAAATACGTTTAGAGATGCGTCGAGTACTCGGCTGATACTCGGTTTTTTGCGTATTCGGCGGGTTTTTTTATACTCGTACTCGGCCGAATAACTCGGTTATACTTATATATTTGATAAAGAATATACTTTGTTTAAAAAAAACAATATATTTAGGTAGATGTAATTAAAACAACATTGTTAAATCTCATAAAAAAACTGTGTATGAATGAGTGTAGTAATTAGACAAAATTACGAGAAGATGAGAGCGAGCCAATGTCTTGACCGGTACGGACCTGTTTGTACTTGTGAAATGGGAATTTGATGGAATCGCGTTACTCGGCCGAGTACTCGGTAAAAAAAATTAGAGCCGAGTAAAACTAGGTACTTGTTACTCGTCAAAAGTGCTACTCGGCGCATCTCTAATAAAAACTCTTAAAATCGTACAAAGAGATTTGAATACATTTTAATAATGCAATAATTTTGTATTATTGCTTGCTCTGATAATAAACATTTATTACTTTTAATTCATTTTATCATTGTCAGAGCTAGTTATTCTAGTTATTATATCGTTAGACATATAAAATTACGCGAGTTTAATCGAAATTTTTTATTCAATCGATGTTAATCACTTTTACGCTTAACTATTACACATTGACTGTTCGGCATGACACAGTGGATTTTAATTTTATATCTGTTTAACTGCTCGTAATTTTAACATTCCTTCAAAAGCCAGCATTGAATAAACGAACATAATTCAGCCACATTTTGCCTCGCTCTGTCGGTTGGAAACGGAGATGAATAGCCTAATAACTGATGAACAAAGGAGCGCAGGTGGAACGCATAAGGAAGCTCTTCCTTCATAATGAATATTGCGCTAAGATATTGCTGGGTTACAGATAATAAAATGCCGTGTCACTTGATTGAACTGAGAGACAAAGACTTGATAAATAAGTTCCCTTGTTAAGTAAGCTTTTTTTTCTAAATTAAAAACCTAGCTTTTTTAACATGGACCTGCTGAGAAAAATATTTAAATAAATTCGCATTAGTAGGTACCTTAGACTACTTATTCCCATAGTAAACGTGTTTTATAAATATGGCGATTTTAAAGGATGTCTATTATTCACAAGAAAGCATGACAGGTGTTCACGCCACGACACTACACCAACCTAACAATCCCTTCTTGCATACCCCCCTCATAAACTACGTATAATGTTAAAGATACAAGCAAGTTACAATAAAATAAGAGTCACAAGAATTCGATAAATAACTTTTTTCTCTTCTTCAGGTGTATCCTTGGTGTTCATGATTGCTGTACTACCATGGCTGCTTCCATGGGGAAAGGGTGGTGGGTGGGCGTGGTTCCTCTCCTTATGCCACCTTCTCGGCGCACTAGCCCCGTGGTGTGGATCATTCCTCTACCACCTCTTTATGAACCACACTAGAGGTGCCAGTCTCTACCACAGGCTGCTTCAGCTGGACATGCTTGGGATTTGGGTCAGCCAGAGTATAGGTGAGTGAATTATATATGAAGCTAGAATAATTAATTTGTACCTATAAAATATTGCATAGAATACAATTTATCTTTTTTTCCTATGAAAGGTATTTATAAAGTTAAGTAAACATGTTCTTACGCGTACATGTATTTTAATTAAAACTTACGTTCCTTGAGGCCTTTCGATATACAGTATATTCCCCTCATCAGAAGGCAGTCTTAGTGATTACTCCGATAGAAGTATCTAGGAAGGAGGTGATATAAAAAAGAAAATAAACGAGTATCATGCAATTTCTAAAACTATTAAACTATCCAAGCAATTTTATACTTTAAGTCGTATGTAATTAGAGTCACTTTCTCAGCAAGTATATTTATTATTTAGTACATTATAACCTCAAATTACTGTATTCAAAGGGTTAAGCTTTACTCTTAATTACAATCATTAAGGGTTACTACCAAAACAAAATATTGTGTGACTATTAAAATTCAGAGGCTGGGGATGAAAGGGAATTAAGGTTAAGCTTAGGTTCGGTGTTTGTTATATTGCGGTTTTTGTATATTATATAACTGTCACTAATATTACATATAACCTTATGTACTACGTACAATTCGTCATAACCACATATGATTAGTGATTGGGCTAATGTTTGCAATCACGATTTTGATTAACAATTGAATGCCATGTTTTCAAAGTTGAACTTTAACAGAGTTTTAAGCAATTTAGGTTAATTAAATGAATACATTCGCTACTATGCCGTTTCTTTTAAACATTGTCACAGGGGTAGCATCTAAAGCTTGAGTACAAAGATCATATGCAATCTTTTAAGATTCCTAAGATGTCATTTGTTAGATTTAGAAAGAGTCTTTTGTTTCCAAAACACATTGAAAGTAAAGCCCATAGGTGTAAGTAACTTGAGGAAACATAATTATTTGGAAAATTAGGACCCTTTCTCTTTTGGTAAACATCCAGTGTGTCACGTACAAATGAGGTTTTAATATTAAAGCGTCGCTCTGAATAAAATAATCTACCTCACATCAGACAGGATAATTTTATTAATAGAGAGCGTGTATATCAAAGGTTAATAAGAAGATTATGTATGACTTTTCTTAAAAGAATTTTTATAGGAGTATGATTTATTTCAATCGTGTATCTTATTATAAAAGACAAAAATGTCCAAAATATGATTAATTTTATAAATTGTGATATGTGAAAAAAAAATATTTCGTGTTGATAACGCTGTTTTATATTTTAGATTGTCATGATTTAGAGTATAATTAATTAATTAACTTAATGTTTCCAGATCTAGTAGAAACTTTAATTAAAACACGTTTAATCATATCATAAGTAAATTATGTTATAATTGCTGAAATACGTGTTTTAAATGCATATTAGCAATAGCGCCATAGAATTTACTAATATAGATATCGCTTCACCTTTTTGAAACCGTTTCATTGTATGATATAATAAATGTTTAAAAAAATTATTGATTCCATCCTTTCAGTCCTAAAATATAACTAAGCCGATGTTAGGCCACAAAAACTCTGAATAGTAAAAAACGTTTTTACCCAGGCAAAATTATTTATTCAGGAAAGCTTCCCACAGGATATCGCATGGGGAAACACTCGTATAGGGCTAAATATTTAAGTAGATGACAACATTTGCGGCACGTGCTGGAAACTTTTGTTAGCTGACACGGTTCATGGTGTGAAATGCTAATTTTCTCGGCATTATCTATAATTTTCCTGTCCCCAACGGAAGTGCTGTACTTATTGTTGGAAATTTAAAAGTGTACTTAGAAGGAAAACCATTATCTTTTATTTTTTGTTCGGCGACGAGGCTGTAGTGACGTGAAATCCAGTTTTCCCTTCAATACTACGGACCACCGTGGATAAGCGTACCTACTTTTTGTTTGTTTTAAATATCGGCATTTAAGAAGCTGACTAAGAAGTTAAGAACCTATTGTTAGTGTTAGTTTAAGAATTTATGTTTAAATTTAATTATACTAGCACCATATCAAAGCAACTAATCGTATAGTATGATATAAATTGTCAAAAAAGACCCATGTGTGAAAAGGGTTTGCAAGTACAAAGCACTTCTACTAAAGTACTATCACTACATGAAACTATAAATACGATAACCCATTCAAAAACCACCAATTTGTTTGTATTAAAAAAAAATTACAGTAATTTTGCAGGTACATTAAGTTACATACTTTTTTCACCCGAAAAGGGTTTTCCCTTATGAATACACGCGCCATTTCGCAATATTTAATATTAACGGTTAACATTTTCACTTCTTTTGTACAACACAAAGCGCTTCAAAAATACCAACAGGTACGAATGACAAGTGTTTTTCATGTGACTAATAATCCATAGAATTTTTATCCTCAATTAAATAAAAATTTGGCCAATTGTACCATCCAAACATGACATGCTAATTTTACAATCAATGTAACCGGTGAGTCAGAATAATACATACTACAATTATATTTAGGGGTTAACGCGTCCCACTAGTTGGGTATTTCTGTTTTGCTTGAAAGAGGATTCTGTAATTTAAATAAAACACTTTAACGGTTTAAAACGCGATATATTAGTTAAACTTATTTGGAAATTATTTTTAACTTTGTCCCGACGTTTCGGATGCTTTGCAGCAGCCGTCACGGGGAAAGAATGCAAAGCATCCGAAACGTCGGGCCGAAGTTAAAAATCATTTCCAAATAAGTTTAACTAATATATCGCGTTTTAAACCGTTAAAGTGTTTTATTTAAATGTGTACTACTCGCGTAAACTATAGACAGTGTAGGATTCTGTAATTATAATTTGACGCACACGTTTGTTAATGGTAGAATTGTATGGCTATTTAACGGGTCGTGAATTCAACCCCCACCAGGTCCAGCATGTTCCTAATTTTTCAATTTATAATTTTTCGTCTTTCTTCGTCTGGAAATCTGGATATTAACTAGTGGTGAGAATATCCACATTCCGTCCGTATCACGAACGTAACGCTTAATCGCGTTTCGGTTTTAGTCTGTGGATTTCCGAATACAGCAAAAATAAGTCGATAGCACATCTTGTATACGCTGGGGTATATAACCTGCCATTAAAAGAACCCCGTGCTAATCTGTCCTACTCTAACATTAAAAAAATCTATAGAGAAATTTAAATAAACAAGGCCAATAGAAAGCTAAAAAGATTTTAATACTATAAAATATTTTCTGTTCTTGACCCACAATCAGATAAAAGGTATCAAAGTGCAGCGTCCTTGCTCCGTTGCAGATATTTACCGTAGACTCGGTTCACTCCCGAAATAAAAGCGCGACACGAACTGTGGACTCTGAATAAATGTCAGAGACCGCGGTAAGTAGGTCAGCCGTGGCGCGGCGAGACTCGGAAACTACTGAGGAGGCCCAACGACCCTTACTACTTATTTGAAGAAACGCCTTTGACATCTCACGCGTTATTTCGAGACAGATATCACTTTAAACTCTTTCTCGGGAGTTTGTGCATTTTGAATTTATTTTAAACCGTAAACTTTTAAATAAAACACTTTAACGGTTGAGAACGCGATGTATATTAGTTAAACTTGTTTGAATTATTCTCACTGAGGCCCGACGTTTTGCAAAGACCACGGATTTTCAAATAAGTTTAACTAATATATATCGCGTTTTAAACCGTTAAAATGTTTTATTTAAATGTGTACTACTCTCGTAAGCTACCAACAGTATTTAAAACGGTAAATGCTTTTAAGAAAAACCGGAACGGTACTTTAATATGTTAAGTAACTTAAGTGCGGACAATAAAAGCTTATCGTGGTCGATCTAGTTGGTCAAATCAAACTCAAAATGCGGATCACTGTTTAAGCACTAAACTAATATTGAGCAAAATCAAGAAATACGAAATCGGAATTCCAAAAAAATGTTTGTCTAGACCAGTTGTTTGCAAAAACAAATTTTGACGCCCAAAAGAACTTTTCTACGCGGACGGAGTCGTGGGTACAACTAGTACGTAATACATGTTTAGATAACAATAATCTGTAAGATTACATAACGAACAAAAAATAAATGAGTTAGAGCCCAAATAAAGTACAAACGATCCCGAATTGGAATAATCTAATTAGCGTACGAGCTTTGCTCCATAATTTATTTAAAGTCGGCAACAGAGATTACGCTCTTTGTTGGCTATACGACTCAACTACGTTAATAACTTACGCCACCGCAATAGTTACTTCAATTACTTAAATCCAATATTTGTTCAACTCTTTCAAGGATAACGTTAGAACAACTTGTTTGAAAATTATTTTTACGGCACGACGTTTCGGATGCTTTGTAGCAGCCGTGGTCACGGGAGACCGTTGAAGAGTTCTATTTAAATGTGTACTACTCGATTAAACTACAGACAGTATTCACAAAATTTTAATAGAATAGTATTAGGGAGAAAACCAAACAAACAAATACTACTATTATATTATTATTACTATTATAATTATAAATGCTCAATTATTTATCTAAATTCTTTATTTATTGTGTTACGACTTACGACCTTGTTGAGACTGAATTACGGGTTTTATGCCGATTCTCATTATGGTGTCAGATGTAAAGTTGACGCTTTTGTGACAAAAAAAATATTTCTAGTAGAAACGCTTTTTTGAGGATTTTAGCGAAAAATACCATCGTGGGGTAGGAAGTCAAGAGATAAAAATCAATGTACCTACTGTAGATTCAACGTAAGAGTATCTGATATCTTAATAGAAAATAATGTTTAGTTTACCAAAAACGTACAAGTGAAACAAAGTTGTCGTATGTGTCGAATATAAAAGCTCGCGAGTTTGTTTGTCTGTTTGAACGCGCTAATCTCAGGAACTACAGGTTCGAATTGAAAAATCTTTTTGTGTTGGTTAGAGCATTTATCGAGGAAGGCTATAGGCTATAAAACGCGCTTTGACTCATAGTGAAGAATCAGCGGGGAATGTAAAAAAAAACGGAAAAAAAATATTTATACTGGTTTAAACTGTTGTGTAC